TCCAACTCACGATAAAGAAGGGAGAAGACATCAATGTACTCTCCCTTCAAAAAATTTTCTCGTGTGGCCGGCAGGAGGTGGTCCCCTAATGGCAAGGCCATATCACCCGAAGGCAAGTCCATGGCTGGCACATGATTCAGAGACATACCCCAAGGGGGCTGAGAGCCCCAAGCCCCCCAAGGTGCCAATTGCCCAGCAGGGCCCCACTGTGGCAGCAGTGGGCATGGACCTGCTGCCCAAGCCCACAGCGGAGGGGAGGATAGGCTCAGAGGAGAATCACCTGCCTGGGAACTGGCCGTGGCACCAGAAACTGGTGGCTGACCCCATGGTCCCCAGGGCCAAACCGGGCCCGGGTGTGGCGAATTAACAGACTCGCCCGTTGCTGATGCAGAATGCTGCCAAGTTGTCCCCGAGCCTGAAGGGACCACATCTTTGCTGCTGCAAGGGTCATGTGCCCCTCCAGAGCTGTATGGCCTGGTTATTCGACCTTCCACAAGAGACAAACGGGTCAACACAGAAGCTTGAAACTGTGCATTGGAGGCAGATACCGTCTGATTCTTACTCTCATCCTCCTGGCCCCCAGACCTTGAAGGCGAGTGTACTCCTATGGCCTGTTTCACAGCTAAAAGCCGACCCAAGATGGCCTGTTGAACTACATTCCCCTCATCATCGTAAGACCGAGGGAGTGGGTCCGCCCCTTTTTTGGTGGGGGCTTAAGGCGTGGGGCTGCCCCCTTAAAAGGAGGCTTAGGGGCAGCCTCCTTGAGGGGGGGGCGCCAGGGCAGGCTCCCTGCCCTTGTCCTCTGTCCCGCCCTTTTTGGGACTCATGGTTCCAAGCCCAACTATGTGTTCACACAGCGGGAGAAGAGGAGAATGTGTGTACACCCCACAGTTTCATAGGACCACAGTGCGGCTTACCGGTACCCCCCCCAGCAGACCCCTGCCAAGCAGGTAGGCCAGAGAGGGCTGACTCCAAAATCTGCCCAAACTAAGGGCTGCCCGAGGCCATCCATCAACTGCAAGTGATGAGTGAATCCCCCCAAGTTCCCCCCGGTTAGAATCCACACTCAGCCCCCCCCCCCCAAACAAAAGGAGAGCCAAGAAGGGGAGCCCGGAAATAAAATCAGCCAGTGAAAAGTGAAACCATGGAACACCCTCCAGGAAAACCACCAGCAGCAGCTGGAAAGCGAAAACAATCCCCTGCCCCGCATAATGGATTACACGTGCAAGAAAGATGGGCCCCCAGTTGCTCTCGTCCAAATTAACACAAAGGTGGGGGGGATGGCAAACCCCCCACCAGGAGGGGGGGTTACACAAGGCACGCCCCCAGCCTCTGCTGAATGCCTTTAGAAACCGGCAGCACTGCCAATGCCCCCCGCCCCCAGTAAGCCCCAGGTCACCCATAGCCCTGCTGGGCCAGGCTCCATCACGTGCCGCCGCTCAGGCCATCCAGGCCCCACCGTCGCTCGCAGTCACTCGCCAGGCACGACGCTGCAACCGCTCAGCCGCGCCTCTCCCGGGAAGTCAATGTGTGTGCCAAGGAGAGCCCCGAAGCCGCCGCCGTCACCCTCCGCATGGCTCCCCGTGTCTCCTCTACAGTCAGGGAGGCCTTCCTACAGAGCTTGGGGAAAGGAACAAAGGAATCCTACCCAGCCAAGCTCTTCGCAAGAACTGGTTAATCGGGGGCGGAGCCAGCTGTTAAAGCGCCGGCTCCGCCCCCGTGCAGGTCACGTAGCTGACTCAGGATATGTGTCTCCCCTTCCTCCTTCAATGGAGGCAAAGGTGGCCCCCAGCAGTACGGCTGCGCCATCTGCTGGTAGGGCCGGATTCTCTGGCTCCGGCTCCACACTGGCAAGGTAAGTGAATGGAGGGCACGGATGACCCTCCCAGAGCATGTGGGTGTTGCATCACATGTGCCAGGGCTTTTAGACACCCCTTCTCACTTGTCCCACAGGCTAGGTGAACGCAGGGACCAAGTCTGACTTGGGGAGGGAAGTGTCTTTCTTCTCATGGCACCATTTTCCATCCAGGCTACGCGCCCCACACATCCATCCTTTCCAACTCACACCACTGGAAAGGTGATTGTGGGGCGTGACAATGACATTCACACCAGTGTGGTGGGTGCAGGGGTGTTCTCGATTCCAGTCAACCTTGCATTTCACTGAGGGGTGGTCTGTGACCAGAGAAAACTTGTGCCTGGGAATGGAGTGGGACTGTTCCTCCAACACTGGCCATCCCCTTCCAGTTGCACCGTTGGCAAGGAGAGTCCAGTGCAAGGCCAAGGCCAACTCCCCAAGGCAATCCCAAGTCCTAGTTCCCAGGGCAACGTGTCTTCCTTCCCATGGCTGCTTTCTCTCATATCGCTTGCAGGGCAACTGGTCGCAGGGCCCCCCCATCCATCCATCCCTCTCTCTCCCTGTTCCTGGGTTTTGGCAAGGTGATTGCCCTGACTGCATGGCCAAGATCTTCTCCATGGACTTGTCCTTAAGTTTGGGTGGTCTTTCTGTTTCCTTTTCTTTCCCTCTTTGTCTCTTTGCTCCCTTTGGGCCCTGACTCTCAGCCACCTCCCCTTGTGTAAGGAGGGACTCCTAGCCACCAGCAACCTGCACCTTTCATGGACAGGGCAGTTACCAGGCCCAGACTGTTGGGCCACTGTCAAGGGCATGTGGTGCATGCAGGCAACCCGTTATGGTGGCATGAGCCACGGCGCACTCGGATGTGGGACACTGTGGAGTCCCAGTCTGGGATGGCCTGGGGTCTTCATGGCAACATGTCATCAATGCATGTTGCTGGCCAGTGGTCATTGTTGACATAGTAGGGGGGGTTCCCGTCCAGGGCCGCCATGGTCTTTCAGTCCTCCTGCTAGCAAGCTGATTACGGGGGATGGCCAAATCCTTCTGGGATGTTGGGGGGGGGGTCGGGTTATATTCCAGAGCCATCCCTGGCTTCGTTTTGCTTGGGCGGTGTTGGGGTGCATCACTTCGCCAAGTAAGGTCATCCCACTGGCCAGATGTTTGTGGGGCATGGGCTCTGGAATCTAAGGAGGATAGCAGTGCATGCATGGCCAACCCTTCCCCAGAACGGGATGCTGTTGGCAGCAGGTTCAAGTCAGAAACCCCTCTTACAGTTGTGAACTGTTCTTTCAAAGAATCACCTGCCTGCAGCTGCCTTTAAAAAAAAGGCAAGGCAAGAATTGGGAACTAAAGTCTGTGTGGGCCTTGGTGCCGGGGAGATGCAGCAACCCACAACAGTGTGGGTGGCTCCCAGGTCCCTGGCAGGGTGGGAGGGTTGGCTCTGCCCAGTAATCACCTTGACCACAGTGGGAGAGTGGGCCCGGGGACATGTAGCCACCCGCTGTGTGAGTGGCTCCCAGGCCCTGGACAGGGCAGGAGGGTTGACCCTGCCCTGTTCTGTCCTGCAGTGCGATGCAGCGCCATGCACTACAGCCATCTACTATGTGGGTGGCTCCCAGGCCAGGGCGGAGAGGGTTGGCCCTGCATTCATCTGGTCGTTGGGGAGAGGATGGGCCCAGCCAGGGACACATCCATCCATAACAGTGCCAGCAACCGTTCTCTCCCACATGCTCCCGGGGGGAGGGACGTGTCCATCCCAGAGACTTCGATGCCTCCCCTCTACTAGATCTCATAGGGTCTGTCCTGTGTGTTCTGTGGCCCAGAAACCACACTTGACAAGATATTCCTAGAAAGCACTTTCCTGGGGGCATCTTCTCTGACCCCCCCCCAATTCAGGGCATATGGGGGGGGGGCATTCCAGGGAGGTCTGCTGTCAGTTTGATGCCTCTAGCTTGCACAGGGCCCATTCTGTACACTCCTGAACCCGCGCCTGACATCTCCCCAAAAAGCACTTTCCTGGGGCACCTTTTTGGGGATGCGTTAACTTGGACACACACGCACCAAGTCCAGTCTTCATCAAACTTGGTGGGAAGGTAGAGGAAAGTCAGCTAGAGATGCCCTAAAGTTTTGTCTATGACCCCAGGTGGCCTCCCATGCTGCAAACTTCCTGCAACCATGGTGCACAGTTTTGGAGAGGAGGGGTGATAACTTGTTCCATTGGGGAAAATATGTCTCACAGACTGGGACCCTGTGGGTTTTCCCAGTGGGCCAGATAGCATCTGATCAGGTCAGGGAAGACAGTAAGGAGCAGAGACTGAAGCCTTTTCTTCACGTGTTGTATGGTCTTGATTTCATTGCACACATAGGAAATGGGAACCCACCACACATGTTTGACTGTTTCACAGAATGTGGGCCCTAGGCCCTAACAGTGTTACATACGTGTAAAGACACCATTCCCATTGCACTGTGAATTCTAAACTATTTCTCCTTTTTTCTTCTGGTGGCCAAACTGTAACTGGCATTTGCTTGCTTTCCTATGTGGTGGGGGTGGAAAGAGAGGTTGAGGGGCCTCCATGATAGCTGCCCAAGTGCCACCAATGTTGAAAGGACATCCAATTTTGGTCAGCTGTACTGATATGAAGCAGTCCCTATCCTGCCCTGCCCCACACCCAAAGCAGAATGTCCACGCCTGTTCACTGTAACATCATCCTCTCGGATCTCCATAAAGTACGAATTGGCGACACAGAGGCATGCAATCAAAAAGGGCTTGATTGACTTGAGAACTTTGGCTTGTGCAGAGCTGTTAAGCGTCTTTGCACACTATCACTGCATGTATTTCTAGGAAGGTGCAGGCAGTTTGATAAATTGTATTGAGCCGTTTTGCATTCCTCCCACTGGTTTGCTCGCCTGACAGGCTCAAGCATACTTTGGAGATCTGTCTAGAGCAAGCAATCCCCCCCCCTCCCCTGCAGGACCATGCCTGGTGACTCCTGTGAGCTTGATCGTGGCACTGAGGCCTAAGGAGTGCTTCAGTTTGGCAAGAGAATGCATCTGTTTTCCAAGAACACTGTGCAGTGGACTGCGAAATTGATCCATCCTTCCCTTCACCTTTGGAGATCTGCTAAACTTGTTGTTTCCTAACTTCCAGAATGAAGGTTCGGTCCAAGAAATTACCATCACGTACCTTGTGAAGGAGGGATCCGAGAAGGCCGATCCATCACAGTTTGAGCTCCTTAAAGTCCTGGGGCAAGGTTCCTTTGGCAAAGTGAGTTCATGTTTTTGATGCAGATAAGATTTGTCCACCATTGAGCCAATAAAGGGGGAGATAGGGGGTGGCTTGTCCAGAATTAACTTCCCCTCGTGAGTTGTAATAATCCTATATCCAAGGAAACACAAACCCTCTGTACAGACTCACTCTGCTGTGTTTTATATGCATTTGTTAATTTGGGTGATTTACTGTGGCAGCTGTCATCTTGAAGAAAATGTAACTCTTTACTTTTCTTTTGGTTAAGCAATATAGTTTTCTTCACAAAAGTTAAGGTATCTGAGCATTGTTGGTTGGGGGCAGGGCTCTTTTTGTAGAACAAGCCCAACAGGAACTCATTAGCATAATAGGCCACACCCAACAGCAGGAACTCATTAGCATATTAGGCCACACCCCTGACAACACAGCTCATTAGCACATTAGGCCACACCCCCATGTTACCAGAAGTGTGGTTATCCAGCCATACCCACCTTTTGCTTGTTATTCTGTTTACCTTGTTTGTTGTCAAAACCCAGGGCCTTTTTTTTGTAGCAGGGACTCCTTTGCATGTTAGGCCACACACCCCTAATTGTAGCCAATCCTAATGAGTTTCTGCTGTTGGGTGTGGCCTATTATGCTAATGAGTTCCTGCTGGGCGTGGTCAACTTGGGAGCCAGCCAGAACTCCGTTCCTGTGCGTTCCTGCCCCAAAATAGCCCTGGTTGGGGGGATGGGTCACAGTCAGTGTTCCTTCTAAGCTGAGTTAGTGTGAGCTAGCTCACCGTTTCTTAGCCTTCTGCTCACACATTTCTGTCTTTGCTCAGGAAGGATGGCTCCAGAGCCAACTGATTTATGCAGTAGCCAAATCGCTTACTCACAAAGTAGAATTTTTGCTCACAGGACTCCACAGCTTAGAGGGAACATTGGTCACAGTGCCTTCATCACAGGCGGAACAAGTCTTTCCTCTGGCTACCAATTCACATTGTCGGACAGGGGCAGTGATTTGATGGCAGAGCATCTGCCTGGCATGCAGAAGACCCCAAGTTCCATCCCCCGGCATCTCCAATTAAAAAGGATCGGGTAGGAGGTGATGTGTGAAGGACCCCCTCACCCCCTGAGACCCTCTGGAGGCTGCTGCCAATCTGAGGAGTGCTGCAAATGTGCATACATATATTCTTAAATTTTCTTCAGTCCATTAAGTATACAAAAATACAATCTTTATCTCAAAAATAACAAAAATAACGTAGCTCAGCTTGTTGCATGTAACTTTGAAGAGTGTGGAGAAAAGAAAACTGCCTTCTGCGAAAACTGTTGAATCCCTGTGGATTGTCTATGAAATGATGAAGACGTCTTATTGTTTGTCGATGTAAGAAGAAGTTCTCACGAAACGGAACATACTCCGGAGAATTTCGTCCATCACCATCTGTTATAAAAAGAAAACCATTGTTATTCTTGAGATAAAGACTGTGGCACAGAGAAGGAGCTAAAATGCATCCTTACTTCTTTGCCTTCTTTACTGGGATTGCTCTTTGCTCAGCAGCCTGTGGCAGCCAAAGAAACCCTCAGACGTGTTTCAGAGCATAAACTTTAAGCCAGAATAAGCAGTCTACAATCCCAGTTAATTCCCATCAGGAACCCCCATTTATCACATTGAAAGCTGCCTTAAGGATTCTTTGTGCTACCATATCTGTGGGGTCCATAATGGGTGCGTTCAGACGCGGCGTTTGCAACGGTATAGGTGCCGGTTGCAATCGGTGTACTTACCGGCGTTCACACGTAGAACATCTGCCTTCCGTCCCTAACCGTTGCAAAGCCCTTTAAACCGTTGTACCCTGCCACTAGGTCCCCAAGTGGTGGTATCCTGAGTACAACGGTTGTAATCGCTGTACCCGCCGTCTGATCGCTCTCCATCGTTGAGAAACAACTTCCGTTTGGAAGCCTGAGGCTTCCGATTTTCGCCCGCCATTTTTTAAAAAAAGTCGGCGAAGCTTCGCCCCGGCGTTTGTTTGTTTAAAAAAAGGTCCTTAGTTTACCAAGAAAGTTTAATCCTGGGTCGAAGCCTTATACCCAGCTGCATGGAATTTCCTTGGTCTTAAAGGGACCCAATGTGTGGCAAGCATTCTGGTGCTGCCAGGCTTACAGCATGTGCAAAAAATCATAGGTGCTGCCATTCACCTATCATGTTACTTTTGTTGTTGTTGCTGCTGCTGCTGCTGCTGCTGAGAGAACTTGTTACAAAGATTTGAGTGGAGATGGATGGATTTGACAAATGAAACTGATAATGGAAGGGTGTCTGTTGTTCTAGTATGTCACTCTGTGCTCACTCCCGCATCCACCCCATCCCAAACCATCTCTCATTGGTGGTAACCAAGTCAGATAGCATCCAGGACCATCACTAGCCCTTATGACTGTTCTCCATGCTAGGCCAGTACTGTGTTTTGCCACATGATCCAAATCCTGTGGTAAGAACTTATAGACAAGGAGAAGGAGAATTTGCTGTTGGGGTGCTGTGATACTGCAGAATTGCCATGGCAAATGTAGTCTGTAGCTGAGCTCTCTGGCCTGCTTTAAATGAGAAGAACTTTAACTTAACCCAGGCAGCTTCATACGCAACTAGCATTTTGGTTAAATGGGGGTTTTGGCCACCACACAAACAACAATAGCATACCAGAGAGCTGTGGCCCAGGTGGGCATTGTGCTGGCTGGGCTGACAATTGCATGTGTAGTAAAGCTGTAGGCATTGTGGCGCAGTTAAAGCAGGGATGCTGGGGATGTGCTGCACTGTTATGGGTAAGTATTTTTTTGTTTTTGCTTACCAGTGTGGTAAATAAGTTGGGCCTCTTGGTGGTAACTTGAGATGTGATCCTGCCTCCCTAGATGGGGATCTCTGCTTGTAGTTGTTGTAAAACCTGCTGTTTTATGTCAGCGGTATCAAACTTCTCTGCCTTTTTTTTGAGAGTAGGAGTTGCAGTCCCCCATGTGACATTAATGTTCTGAGTTCCCTCTCCCCTCCCTCACATGCAGACTCCTTTGTCCACATGGTGCTTTCCCTGTTAAACAGCAAGCAGAGAAAATATGTGTCAACTTCCTTCCTGCTGCCACCAAGGCATAATAACTCTGGTCTCCACAGGTGGCTGTTCATTGGGGTTTGGCTGCATTCAGTCCAACTTTTAACTTTGTTAAATAACAATGTATGTAGATTAGGCTTGTGCCTGATTCCTCCCTCTCCCCTTCTTGTGCAAAACATGATTTATAAATGACTGTTCAAGAATGGAGCCATATGGCATAACCAGAGATAATCCCTCTCCCCTAGTGGGGATTCAGTGGGGCTTCAAAGCAGCTTATAACATCATTTTCCCCTCTTCATTTTATCCTGACAATGACCCTGGGAGGTAAATTATCCTGCAAGTGGTCACGGTAACCCAGTAAGCTTCCAAGTCAGAAGGAATTTGAACCTGGGTCTCCCAGATGTGGTCCCAGCACTCTATCCCTTATACCACACTGGCTCTTCCTCTCCTGGTTGAGTTCTGAAAGACTGACAGCTGTGTGTGGAGAGGGCTTCCTGTTTTTTGATGGTGATAAATGCCATTCAGTATGCAGTGAGGGTTTGTGTGTGTCTATTACAACTGTTCTTTAGGTAGCAGAGATCAGTTCCTCTGGAGAAAATGGTGGACTCAGTGTCATTATACCCTGCTGAGGTCGCCACAGCAAATTGACACTGAGTGTCCAAGGCCGGGGCACCCACCCAGAGCCTCTTTCTAGAGGCCGTTGTATTTATTTCCACAACGGGCCTTTTTCTTAGTAAATAAATAAAAGTATTTTGATAGTTGCAAAATCTTGAGATGAGCCAGTGGTGGCAGGGAGGGCGGGATATAAATTGAATGAATGAATAAATAAATATTTTCATAGTTGCAAAATCTTGAGATGAGCCAGTGGTGGTGTGGGGGGCAAAGATCTGGGAGGCCCAGCTTCAGAATCTGTACTGTGCCAAGGTAGCTGACTAGGCAACCTTGGGCCAGTGGCCCACTCTTAAGCCTAATCTACTTCACAAGGTGGTGGTGGGGCAAAAGTGAAGAAGAGGGTGGTAATGTAAGCAGTATTGGGTCCCTATTGGGGAGAAAAGCTCCCATGGAGAAACCGTGTCCTTGCAGCTTGGAGTTTGCACTGCCCATGCTCTGCTTACAGACTGTCATTTTGCTCTGAATAATCAGCAGTTATGGGGCTCAGCCAGCCTGGCAGCTTTCCCCCCAGTCTGAAGAATGCAGCTATTGAGAGGGGAAACAGCATAAGCTCAGGAACTCTCTGTTGGGTAGCATGTCGCGGGGCTGGATACTGGTGAGGTCTCATTTGTGTTTAATACAGTTTTGTTGAGCTGATAGGAGGAATGCTGTTTTAATAGGGAGACGCAATCAACTTAAATTTACACCTAGAGTTCCACAGGAGGTAATATGAAGGCAGGTGTGGCCGTCCGTTTCCTAGTGGGAGACCGACAGTCTCAGTCTGCATTAGCCAAAGTGCCTTTTAGGAGACTCCAAGGCAAAGTGAAGCATCTGAGCCTCTTCCATGTGTTCTCCTTTGCTTTGGTCCTGCTTATGGTTGAATGAAAAACTAGGCTGATGGAACCCATCTGGGCCCTGTGCTCATCTTTGTCTCTCAACACATGGCTCTCCCCCCCCCCCTAGTGTTGAAGGTAACAGTCGCAATCACTCTGTTCTTGACCTGACGAAATCAAGGCACAATGAAACTTCCTTTTTCTCTCTCTCCCCTCTTCTCCCCCCCCCCCCCCCCCCCCCTCATATCAAGTGTGGTTATATTCAAACAAATTCAAAGCTGTGTGTAGAAAATACCCCCGCCAGTTTAATTACTGGTTAACTAAATTGTGCTAAGTGTTTCTGGTCTGGCTGTTCTCTGTACAGGTTTTCCTAGTGAGGAAAATCACCCCACCGGACAACGGCCACCTCTATGCCATGAAGGTCTTGAAGAAAGCCACTCTGAAAGGTGAGGTCCTGGGTGCTGAGGATATCAAAAAAGATTGGAAAGTTGCAGGGGAGGTACATTTCAGTGAGTGTGCCCCCCCCCCCCAAGCACAGTTGGCCACCTTGCTTCTTGGGAAGGGAATAGCCTCAATCAAATTCTCTCTACCGCCTGCAGATACCCGAACAGCAGGTTTGCTGCGGTGTCAAGAGCAGCCTGGCATTAGGGGTTAATTCCCGTAGTTGGCGGCAGCACTATTTCATTTGTGCAGTGTCTGAATCGGGGCTTCTCTGTTGACAGTGCGTGATCGAGCAAGGACAAAAATGGAAAGAGACATCCTAGTGGAAGTCAATCATCCCTTCATCGTGAAACTCCACTACGGTGAGTGGAGGGGCGGCGGCGCTATTTTACCAGGTCTTGTGGGGGAAAGATTGTAACCATGACAAGACCCCATGCCAGTAACGGTAGGTTTCTAAGCAATCGTATCTGGATTTGGTTTGTTCCCCCTTAGTCCACCTGCCTGTGGCATCCAGGTAGCGGCTCCGTGCTGACGGCTGCTTCTGTGCCCAAGATCCTGGAGAGCTGCTGTGCAGAGTACACTCTAAACGGAGCTAGGTGAACTAGCAGCCTGTCTCGATGTTCATGTATTTCACATGTTTATAATGTGTCCAGATTTGCCCTGCTAAGTCCCAAACTCATGGCTAAAGCTGTGCATACTTGTCCTGTGCAGTCGTAATGCTAGTTTCCTGATAACCACAACTTTTTAAAAAATCAGGAGCTGGTTGCAGAAATGTGTGGTCTTTCCCCGTAGCCTCTACTTTTCTTTGGGGCAAATTCATTCTCTCTCACCTGCCCCCCCCCTTCCAGTTAAGCAGCTCTTTCATCAAATATCAAACAGGGCTGCCTTATAGGATCTGGGCCTTACTTTAAATGAGATCCTGTCTAAAGTGGTGGGGAGTACTTGATAGCACATGAGTTGGAAGGGAGGTAGAGGTGACCGAGCAATGGGATATTTTAGCCCTTTACACATGCACTACTCTTGAAAACCTAGAAGCCATACAGGCTTGGCTGCATCTTTCTGTCCAGGAAAATGGGTGATGTGAATTCCTCTGTATCTTGCCTTCCAGCATTCCAAACAGAGGGGAAACTCTACCTCATTCTCGACTTCCTCCGTGGGGGAGACCTCTTCATGCGCCTTTCCAAAGAGGTGAGTCATTTCTCTTATTTAGCTAGAGAATTATTATGCCACCTCTCTAGGGAATACTACCTCCAAAAATGAAAACGGTACTGTATCTCACAGTAAAGTGAACAGGCCTTGCGAGTCACAAAGCAGCAAAGCTGCTCCACCTGCTGACCAGATGGGGCTTCTACATACTCACAGGGTTCCCCAAGTCTGGAGAAAAAAATAGTGTGGTAAATCAATGGTGGTGGTGGGGGGAAGCAGCTTGATAAGGACAGAGTGTATTCTTGGAAGCACAGAATGCTGTGAGATTAATTTTGGGTGAAGAGTAGGAGATGATCAGGGGCTGGGGAAACTTACCTCAAATCTGAGAGGTTTATATAGTCTTGAAGGGGATCCCTTTCCCCTTCCCCCCCCCCCCCCCGCCATTCCTTGTGTCTCTTTGCTCATATGAGTGTATTTGTGGTATTGTCTGGATGCTTCACCTGATAGGACTATGTTACCTTAACATTAGCAAACTGTTTTGAAGCATTATGAATTAAAAATTTAAATGTCTGCTTTCCTCTCCCAGCACGGGATCCAAAATCGCTTTTAAAAAGCACACAATTCCACAAAACGCCTTCAGTTTTATTCTTTAGGTTAACTTAAAACCAAGCCAGGACACCACAACAGCTAGTTTGTTATGGAGTGAACAATGGGGAAGAAAGAAAGAGAAAAACATTATACAAAAAACTTTGCGTGTCTCTCATGCACACAGAAATCCAGGAGCCTTAGTCTTTTAGCCGAAAAAGCCAACAGAGGAGACTTGATGTGGATCATACTACTGTAGAACAAGGTTTTACATTGCATCAAAACACAACGTGTTGTAGTATCAGACGAGGACAGACGTCTGCAACGTGGCACCCGCCATCACCTTTCCTGGCACCCACTCAAGGCCGGCGCTTTCATAAGGCGAGGTTAGGCAATTGCCTGGGGTGCCACGCTGGCCTGCCACCCCAGTGGGTTGTGCCCCTCACAGGAAGCCACCGAAGCCAACCCTTGTGCCCCTTCAGTGGCTCCATGGCGGCCGCTGGGATGCACAACGGGCTCTGCGCTGCACAGGAGATGCTTTGGACCGTGCCGCTCCTGCTGGTCCTCCTGCGCTGTTTGGAAGCAGGCTGCGCCCGCACCACTGCCCCCCGCCGTCCGAGCCTAGTGCCCCCTGCCGCCCCCGAGCACGTGTGCGGCAGCGCCTCCTCGCCCGGCCTTCTCTACCACGTGCAGTACAAGTGGTAAGTCCCAGCCCCCTGTCACCTCGCCCCCCTGCCAAGCCTTGCGACAGACACGTCTCAGGGCCGCGTCCTCTGCCCGGCTGACCCATGAGGAATCCTACAGCAGCCAGACACCTGCCTCGCACTGCGGGGCTCACAAGTTGCAAAAAAAAAACACCCAGAGGGCGGCCTCGGGGTTCCTGGCATCCAAGCGCCGCCAGCCTCACCCGGCCCAGCCCTGCACAGCAGCACATAACGCTAGGAGGTTAAAGCCAACTTCTGTTTGGTCCCCTGAGCTTCGTGTATGCCTGTGTTTCACAGCCACATGTAAAGTCAGCTTTCTTTTGATGCTGCCTCTGAGCATAAGCAGAGTGCATTTTTCCCTAGCCCCTGAATAATTAAAGCAGTCTCCTTCCTTCCCACACCAGTAATTAGGAGTATGAGCTCAGATGTGAATCCTAACACTTACTTTTTTAAAAAAATCACCCATAAATTGTTAGAAGTAGTTTAGAAGTACTCGGGTTTGTTGATGAGCCCAGCATTTTAGTTCAAAGTTACCAACCTCCAGGTGGGTCCTGGAGATCTCCTGGAATTAACTGATCTCCAGATGACATAGATCAGTTTCCCTGGAGGAAATGCCTGCTTTAGAGGCTGGACCCTGTGGCATTATACTCCACTGAGGTCCCTCTTCAGGATCAATCCCCCAAATCTCCAGGAATTACCCAAACCAGAGTCTGGCAACCCTAGCTGCCTCTGGAAAGCTGACATGCAAGTCACAAAGGCAACGCCCCAGCATCTTGTACTTAGTGATAGTACTGTCTCTAAGCACAGAATATTGTTTTACACACAAAAAAAACCTTAATAAACCCGTTAGTATGCAGGAGTCAGAAATAACAGAATCTGGTGCCACCTTAAAAGGCTAACAAACTTATTGTGGTGTGGCATAAGAGATCATGAGCAAAAGACAACTTGCGTGGTATTAGATTCAGAGAATGTACATTGAAATCACGTGGGTTATAGACTCATGTGCATAGTACATTACCAGGGTTTCAGATACTAATGCTGCATAGGTCTGTGATGCCAAGCACCACCAACCTAGTTCAGTTTGTTAACTGAAAAAGTTTCAACCACTGACAATAAGGCACAGGTTTAAACACTAAACACAGTACTAAAAAAAGAAGTGAAACCTCATATGTGGAAATGTGTTCACTGTTTTGATTACAGTTTACCAATTCAAATTTTTGAACCGAGTGTTGGAAAAAACTTCAGTGTCTCCCTATGCAGTTGTTGGAGTGCTGGCAGACCAGAAAGGGGTGGGGAGTAAATAAGAGCCAGACACACTGCATAGGACACATCCATCACATGCATAGAAATATGAAACGAAAACAACGCTGCTTTAGAAACCTCAGTGTGCAAAGCAGTGGTTTTGCTTTGGATGCACACACACAGGAAGCTGATTGCATTGGATGAAAATAATATCTGTGCAATGCCTGGTCCTCAGAGATGTTTTGTGAGCCGTATCTGAACTGGGAGACAATGTTATGCAGTTAGAGGTGCTCCGAAATAAAAGTACCAATTGAATTTCAGCATCCCTTTATGACTCAGTCCATCTGGCAAGCCCGAGCCCTGATCCACAGTGCAGTATAGCTGGCAATTGCTTATATGGCAACAGTGTGGGATGAGCATCAAGTGGGAAATTATTTGTATAGAGTGGCTTCCCATGTGGGTTGTAGCACTTTCCTTTTCTTACCAGTTTGGTGTAGTGGTTAAGTGCGTGGACTCTAATCTGGGAGAACCGGGTTTGACTCCCCATTCCTCCACTTGCACCTGCTGGATGACCTTGGGCAAGCCATAGTTCTGTCAGAGCTGTTCTCTCTCTCAAGGACAGTTCTCTCAGAGCTCTCTCAGCCCCACCTACCTCACAGGGTTTGTGCTGTGAGGAGGGGAAGGGAAAGGAGTTTGTAAGCCACTCTGAGACTCTCAGTGAATGGTGGGGTATAAATCCAATATCAAACGGGCGCGATCATACCACAACATCTGGGAAGCGTAGTGCACCCGTCTCACACCTGTACCGTCGGCCCGAAGAAGCGGATTTAAAAGGCACTGGGGGAAAGGTAGTAGCTTCTGGTAAATGCACGGGTGTCTGATCGGAGACGCGCCAATAGCCCGTGGCATCCAGCGGCCGTCCGCAACCCACGCATGCGCAGTAACGCAGTACTGCCGTGTTGCCTCGCTGGGACTACGCTGTTGCCTCCCTGGTATGATTGGCTGCCGACGGCCTGAGGACAGAGCCACGGGGGACCATAAGATCGCGCTCCCGCGCTTCTTTTAGCTCCGCCTCTAAAAGGCCTCCCTTCCAGTGCGGATTTTCCCACTCGTGTGACCGGGGCCTAAGACTACAAAGATTAAATCCAGACCTGGTTCCAGGAAGTTTTCCCATCCCCAAGAGGCTCCATTTCACCAAAGAGGTGCACCCAAGATCTCTTGCAGAAGATGCTGGAGCACAGCTCTTAGATCATGTGTTGTTTTGCGGATGCTCTTAAAGGACGGCTGTCTTGAGTAAGTGCTGAGGTTGCTTATTTATTCATTCAGGCTGACTCCTTGAAAATGTATGGGTGATGCTGGTGAAATCTCCCTAGCTAGCCAAGGAGTTTCATAGGATGTAGAAGTTGGGGGAGTAGACTTCACCATCCTGCAGTTGCTGCTTACCCTTTCATGGAGCAGAATAAATTATACAAAACAAGGAACTGTATTCAATTTGCTTGTACCCCACCTTTTTCACCAATGGGTACCCCAAGTAGTGTACAGCATTCTCCTCTTCTCCATTTTATCCTCACAACAACCCTGTGAGGTAAGTTAGGCTAAGAGAGTGTGACTGGCTCAAGGTCACCCAGAAAGCTTTCAAGGTACGAGTGGGGATTCAAACCTAGGTCTTCCAGATAGAAGGAGGAGGAGGAGGAGATTGGATTTATACCCCGCCCTTCACTTGGGAGTCTCAGAGCGACTTACAAACTCCTTTCCTTTCCGCTCCCCACAACAGACACCCTGTGAGGTGGGTGGGGCTGAGAGAACTCTGACACAAACTGCTCTTTTTCAAGGACAGCTGTGCCAGAGCTTGTGATTGACCCAAGGTCATCCCAGTAGGTGCAAGTGGAGGAGTGGGGAATCAAACCCGGTTCTCCCAGATTAGAGTCCGCACACTTAACCACTACACCAAACTGATACTAGTCTGACACTCTGCTATACCACACTGGCTTGCTAGTATTGATCCAGCACTAGCAGTGCACAGAAGAACAGCAAAAAGAAGGCAAGAAACAAGGGAGGGAGTCATGACTCAGTGGCAGAGCACCTGCTTTGCATGCAGAAGGTTCCAGGTTCAGTTCCTGGCATCTCCACTTAAAAGAATCAGATAGTCAGCGATGTGAAATACCAGACCCTGAGACCCTGGAGAACTGCCAATCAGAGCAGACCAGTCTGATTTTGATAGACCAAAGGTCTGACTGGGTAGAAGACAACTCCAATGTGAACTAAGATAATGGGAGGGAATGGGGGGGGCGTGTCAGGGCAGCATGAGCATATGAAGCTGCTGTCTACTGGATTAGGCCATTGGTCCAAACTGCCAAGTGCAATAGACCACAGCAGCTCTCCAGAGTCTAACATGGGGAAGTTTCTCCCCCCCTCCCTCCCTCCCCCCGCACTTGCTACTGGAAACTTTTAAACTGAAGATGCCAGGGGTTAAATCTGGGACCTCTGGCATGCAAAAGCTTTCTGAAAACTGGGCTTGACTTTAAAACAAGGCTAGGCGGGGTGGGGGTGGGGGCCCCTCATCTGACCACTGTGGGGTTTCCCATCTCTCCTCTCCTACCCAACTGTGACTCTGCTTTCTTTGGATATGAGCAAAATTTCTTTAAACCCCTTTCCCTTCTCCTGCGATGAGAACAGCAGATTGTGGGTCAGAGATTTCCCCTTGGGCACTTCAAACGCCTTGCCCCCAGGAGCAGGCAAAGAACTAGGCGCAAGTCGTTGAAGCGTAGACCAATGGGAAAGTTTCCACCTATAGGCTTCTTGCTGCTCAGACTCGGTAAAGCAGGGCTGAAGGGGCTTCTGGTTTGGTTCAGGAGGACACAGAGGACAGAGTTCCCCTGGCCAGCCCTTCAGTTCTTGCTCAACAGCCCACCTTAAAAATTAGTTGCCAGCCAGGGCTGTAGATGGATGATAAGACAGCAAATGGAAAGCTGTTTGCAGTCACTAATACCACAACAGGGATTGCGTTTCGTAGACTTTTAAAAACATCCATCTGCCCAAAACAAAAATCCCTAAACACGACTAAAAAAAATACAGAGTAAAAAGGGCATCCGGATTCCAAACTTACATGGCCAGTGTCAGTATGCGGTCTAGCATGTTTTCAAGACCTATACAGAATCTAGTGCTTCAGATGCACTATCTGAATAAATGCCATTCCAAATGAGTTCAGAATTTATATGGTGGTGTGCTTAAAAATTTCCCACTTCTTTTTGCATCCGTTTTCCTCCCAAATGCTCCTTCCTTGCACCAGTCATAGGGGATGCTGTTGAATTTCTTGTCCTTAAATATATATATTTAACCCCACTTTCCAGCCAGAATTGGCTCCCAGAGCAGATCACAGGAAGGAGATACAGCTAATAAACTATGGCCCTGGTCATACGGGCCGGAAAATGCAGGGGGGTAGCTGTTTGCCCCGGGGCAAAATAACGCACGGTTGCGCGAGCAGACGTCCCGTGGAAGTCCCATGGTTAGGGGGAGGTGCCGATCGCAGGACACTCCTGCGGCGCTGCAAAGCGGGGCCGTGGGGCAAACGAGGTTGTGGGTTTTTTGTTAAACTAAAGTGTGCGCATGCTCCATTAGATGCTTGTGCGCATCCGTGGAGACTTGGGGGGGGAAAGCCTTTTTGCGAGGGGACATGGGCAGGCGCTGGAACTACCACCGGAAACACGATCAGACGCCCGCCCATGCCCCGTGGTTTCCAGAAACTAGTACCTCGGAGGTACTTGTTTTTTACAGCCCATCTTCGGAGTGAAGCTTTGGGTGAGCCACGGGAGCTCTACGCTGCCCAGATGTGGCGGTGAGATCACGCCCGGAAAATCCGCCTATCTTCCGTCTCTCTAGCGTGCCTAATGCTCCGTGTGACCGCAGCCAAAGCCAGCTTTCTCAGTCTGTCAACCAGAGCAAAACAGGGACTTGGTCATTCTTCTGTGTGCTGTTTCAATGTAACTGCTTGAGCAATGTGACTGACTGGGGGGGGGGGAAGTGTGGGAAGAAGAGGCCCCAGTGGGGCAAGAGGAAATTGCTCTGCTAATGAGGAGGCATGTGATGTCAGTGGGATTGGCAGTGCAAGATAATTCCTCTAACCATTATTCCAAATCTGCTCTTCCTTCTGCTACTTAGCAAGTTTTATGTGTGCTTTTAAAACAGATGCCCGTACTAGATTCTAGAATGTGCTTGTAGTGGGGGGGGGGGGGTAGATAGTCTACAGGAGCACATTTTTAACTTTGTATTTGATGCTGGATGTACTGAACATATTCACAGCAAGTCCTGTCTCAATGTTGGTTCTGCAGCAAGGATTCATTATGCAGATGTGTCTTATCGTCAGATCCAGAGTAACGGTTTTGCTTCAGAGAGCCTCGCCCCATCCCCACCCCACCAACCTTGGCAAGGGCTTTGTTGAAAGGTCTCGTCTGCCTCCTTACCAGATTTTATTTTCACATCGCCTGCCTATTGATGTCTAGAAATTAGATGCAGACTTCTGTATGAGTTATCAAATCGCTTGTTCGACATCGTTGCAGGTGCCTAGGATGAAGTCAGCCCTTGCAAAAACTCCACCGCTCTTGGCTTCAGGATTGTGTGACCCACCCACTCACCCCACCCCCCATGCTGCTACTGTCTTTTTCCTTCCAGGTAATGTTCACTGAAGAAGATGTGAAGTTCTACCTTGCAGAGCTGGCACTGGGACTTGGTCACTTGCATCGCTTGGGCATTGTCTACAGGGACCTTAAACCAGAGAAGTATGAAGGGTTTGCAGGTTTCCACTGTGTGACTTAGAGGTGTCTGCAAACGGCCCTGGATGCACCCCTGAAAGAGGGGCTGAAATGTGTGTTTGGCTCCTGGGGTGGAAGCACTCCCTAGGCTGGGTCCAAAAAGAACATAGTTCTGCCTGAAGCTCCTGGGGGCAAGAGGGGCACCGAGGAATGTTCAGCTGTGTGTTGCATTGTCATTCGGACGTCACTGCACAACTGGTGGGGAACAGACTAGCCTCAAATCTTAGTCGGGAAAATGCCAGGTTGGTTCCCACTAGCAACTCCCAGTTTGTTAGACTGAGCATTCAGATGTCACAACTAACTGGGATTTGATTGAGCAAAACCGGAGTTTAATTGTGGTGTTGGAATGCAGCCTGAGGAAGACACTTGAACTGTGGCTCTCAGCCCACAGTTTGGCCACCCTAATAGGTTCACATCCTAGAGTCTTCTGTGCCTTCACATTTACTGTCTCTTCCCCATAGCATCCTCCTAGACGACGAAGGACACATTAAGCTCACAGGTATGGTATCTCCCTACATGATACACTCCTGTAGAGACTTCCATTTGTCATCTTGTACTGTCGTTGTTAAACTGATGCATGATTTGCCTTCTCATTCTCTTCTGCTGTTCCCCTTCAACCCCATATCCCACTTGTAGATTTTGGTTTGAGCAAAGAAGCCATAGACCGTGAGAAAAAGGCCTATTCTTTCTGTGGGACGGTGGAATACATGGCACCAGAAGTTGTGAATCGTCAGGGCCACACCCAGAGTGCGGACTGGTGGTCATATGGAGTCTTGATGGTATGGTTAGTGGTTGGTGTGTGCCAAAACAACGCTTTGGGTGAAAACTACCTGTAAATGTTGGGTAGGATGAGTACTAACTGAATCAGTACTGCCTTCTTGTAGTAATTCCAGTTCATGTCCCATCTGTGCCCTGGGGAAACAGGAGTCCAGAAACACTTTTAGTACTGAACAAAATCTATTCCAGCTTCAACTTTTGTGAGTCAGCATTCACTTCAGCAGATTTACGAACTGTACAGCCATAGCAGATAGATTTCTGCTTAAAGCTACAAGCAACACAGAAAAGTGGGAGTAGGGAGATAGACAGGCCAGTTAGAAACAATATCAAAGGGAATTTGGTACAGGTCAGGAGCACTTCGACCTGTAGATAGGTGGGCAGAAGAAAGTGTAGCATGAGGCATGAGATGAACTAATTAAAATCTGTAACAGGTGGATCATGGCCTTATTAAATACAGAATAGGGCGTGGTCTCTGACAGCTTGAAGACTTCCAGACTTTGTTTAGCATATTCTGTCATGGTGCTCTGTTTCATCAGATGCATGAAACATAGTGAGGCCAAGAGACCTTGAAATGTGTGAGGCCCAGTAGGACAAGTGCAAAGGTACACACAAGGTAAAAGCAGAGTGACCCATTTGCAGCATTAGTCCTGGGTGATAGTGTGCAGAGGTCATTTCGGGGGGGGCACGCGGGGGAACACAGTTCCCCCGGGTGAGGTGTGGGGGGGTGGGGCACACGATGAAGCCCTGCCCCCTGCTTCCGGCCGCCCTGCTTCCAGCCCTCATTCAGCCAGGAGGAGGCAGGAGAAGAGGGAGGGTAAGTTGCTTCCTCCTCGCCTCTCCCCACCCCTGCCTGCCTGGGGCCAGGGAGGGCCTTTGCAGGGCTTCCTCGCACTCCCGCCAGCCTTGCAGGTCCACCGCTGGGCCCCTGATGTCAGGGGGTGTGGCATATGCTAATGAGTTATGCTAATGAGTTCCCCTAGCTCTTTTTCTACAAAATGACCCCTGATAGTGTGATAATACTAAACCAGTAGTAGGAAAGGAACCTGCAGTCCTGATTAAACTCTAACTGAATAGAATAAAGTTTGCTGATTCAATTTTGTTCAGCAGTTTCATGCTAGAATTTCCCTCTGCAGTGTGATGGTTCTCAGGTCGGCAGCAGAGGGTCTCGGGGGACGGAACTGTCTTCCCACTGGATGGATGTTGCTACTTCAGCAGTGCAGTTCTGTGCAGAGCTCGGCCCGTGTAAGCCCACTGACTTCAGCAGGCTTAGATTGGACTGCTTAGGACTGCAGTGCAGATGTTGTGTTTGTGTCCATTGTGCTGAGGCTGATGTACAGACAGGTGGCAGAAAGGCTCTGTAGACAGGTGGTGCATACTGCAGCAGATGAGCAAGGGAAGGAGTCCTTATGCTTTTAGGTCCTATAATCGTGTTGCCTGAGGAGCCATCAGGACAGAGTGGGCATCTGGGTTTGTTGCAAGGCTGATCCCTGCAGATTTCTCTGCTAGGGCCTATTGTTGGGGGCTGTCTATAAATGAGGACCCTGAAATGCCTGAGAGAGAAGAATCATCTGTCAGTGGTGGCTAAATGAAGATCACTGATGACATATTCGAGGTGTTTCAGCTGGAAATTCTAGGCAATGGTTTGTGTCTTAGCACTTTTTCTTCTGGGCCTATACTGTTCCTAGGGACCAGTCTGGCCTTACTAATTATTTTTGTAGGTCTTATCACTTTAAGAATGTCTTGTGACTTCTTCAGGGGTTAGCCTCTCTCTAAGAAACCAGAACAAACGTGCTTGCAGCATAGGGCTTTCCACTGTATTAGGGATCTCTAACTTTGTTGAGTCTCTAGGGCACTACTGGAATTGTGCAATGTTTGGAGGTTGCAAGCCAAACCTCCTACTTTGAAAGCAGCAGCTGTTTCCAAATGAGCAAGTCCTGCAGACCCTCTAGGGCTCTTCTGAAGTCCAAAGAATAAAAAATAAATAAAAGGAAGTTGACAAGAGCTGAGATTGGCACAGCTCGTTTCGGGAAAGGAGGATGTTGACACCAGGAAACACAGTGAAGGGCCCCATGTTGCGGTTCACTGCTGTAGACAATGGATTGTGTGTTGTGATGACTGAAAGTTTGTTAATATGTGTAGCAGCCAGTGAGTTTGGTATAGGGTGAGATTAATCCATTCCACAATAGCGTGAAAGCAAACCTGCTGCTTAGACAAGTCAACACACAGGTTTATACTGGGGAGAAAGTTTGAAATGATGGGGGACTTGGGATTGCCAGGTGTGATGGACTGCACTTGTTAGAAGGTTTAAAAGTGCTGTATATAAAACCATAGGACTGTGAAGGGTTAATACTTCACAGAGCTGGAGAGCCTTTGAGTGACAGGCTGCTCCCGGCAATCCGATTGGTCAGCGTCAGCTGAGCAGGCAGAGTCTTGAGAGAGCTGGATGCTGAGGAGATTCATTCCAATTTGAGCCTTGACTGGAGAAAATCCAAATTCTGTCTTGACTGAGAGTATAACTCCAGCCTTAGCTGAGAGCAGTTCAACACAGACAGGAGAACTGGGGGGAAAGTTGGCTAGTCAGTTTGGAAAGTAAACTGAGACTCCCATTCAGGCCAAGGATAGGCGATAAAACTTCTAGGGAGAGAAGATTCCCTACTGTCAACCAAAGCGCCTGTCTGGAGCTTGGTTGCCATGGAGAGGTGGGGTGTGTGTGAACTGGAATGTATAGTTTTGTTTCTGGCCATTATCTATCTGGTGTCTGGTATAACCATGTAACCTTGAGACCTGCACTGTCTTTAGTATCTCTTTTCCCCTGGGAATCATAGAGCATTAGTTTGCCGGGGTTTTAGCTTAGAAGTGATTGGACAAGAGCCACTGATGTCTATTTGATCATACTATAATTGCTGGCTTCGCGCGCTGGACCTCAGTCCTAACAAAATATGTTATGAATCTATATCCTATCAATGTCTCAATAAACTTTTCTTCTTTTGAATGATTGTTATTGGCAGGGCTATTTTTGGGCCGGAACGCACTGGAACGGCATTCCGGCTGGCTTCTGAGCCCTCCCCGCCCCTCCCCACCTCGCCCCTCCCTCCAAAAGCCCTGCTCCACTCTCCCAGAAGCAGCGGTCATGTGCTGCTCTCACACAGCCATGGCTCAGGGGATCCAGGCTTCTGCTGTGGCTGCTACCGCCGCAGCTCCTACTGCCAGGGGAAGGAAGGAAGGGAGGGAGGGAAGAGCGAAAGCGGGAGGGGAGGGAGGAGGAGGAAGGGAAAGGAGAGGAGGGGGGAGGGAGCGGCACAGCGCACAGGAAACCAGCCCACTGGCCGCTGCGAAACAGGTGAGACTTGGCCTGGGATGTCGGAGCCGTTCACGCCCGCTTGCAAGCTGGGCTGAAAGCACCCTCTCCCCGCCTCTCCACTCCCCTTCGAGGGGCAACCACGGGAGGGTTGGGCGCTGGCCTACCGCCCCACCCCCTCCCCCAAACAGTCACGCCAGTCAACCTTGCGTGGCACTGAAGCGGCGAGGCCAGTGGCCGGCAGGATCCTGCCCGCGCCCCTGGGTCTTGACTCCTGTGGCCCCTGCCACCGCCATTATTGCCTGCTGAGGGCTGATAGCCCACCTGAAACCAGTGCCATGCCTTCGCCCTCCTGGTCATACTGGGGGGGTGGCGCCTTCGCCAGCAGCAGGCACCGTTTGCGCTCTGCACGGAGTGGTGCTGTTACCCCTGAGGAGCAACACATGTTGGCCTTGCGCGGAACCCTGGCTGTGCCTGTGCCATGGTGGTTGGTACTGGGAGCCCAGGCTGAGGAGGCTGTATCTGCCCATTGTTCTCCCCCACTGAATCCTTTGCCTCCACATGGGGAGGGGGATTCTCTGTGGCTGCCTGCCGGCCGGCAGCTACAACAAGCAGCTCCAGTAGAGGCATGCTTGTAGCTGGGTGAGCCGCAGAAGAACCGGCAGTGAAGAGAAGAGATGCATCGCAACCTTGCCATGCAAGCCAAGTGGGTAGGTTCCCTTTGGTCGAGGTGCCTGGATGGAGAAGTCAGCAACGCCTCAGTGTTTGCCCTCTTGTACACACACGAGCAAGTGACTTTTCTTGACACTAGCGCACAAAAAGATAGTGGGCACCCTCCCCCTCTCTTCTTCTTCCTCCCGGTATTGTACTCTGGAAAAATTGCAATCGCTATTTCCCTCTTGCTTTTGCTGGTGTCTGAAGTGAAGCGGGCAGGCGGGAGAGAGGGAGGGGGAGGAGACGAGGGATCCATATGCAAAGTTACGCAAGCCCATTTTGGCAGGCGGCTCCTTTGCTATTTGTTCATGGAATGCGATTTGAAACCTGCAAGCCTGACAGTCCCCTCAGCTCAGCCCCCTTCCCTTTCCCTCTCCCCCCCTCCCCCACAGCCTGATCCTGAGCTTCCAGACAAACAAACAAGACAAGCCAGCTACATACACGCTTTGGCTGGGCAGAGGCTGTAAAATATGTAAGCATCTTACAGTCTAGGGTTAGCATGCAGGCATTTCCCTTCCCTCAGACTAAGGCTGCCAGGTGATGGGGCATTAATAAAGGAGTTGCAGTATCAAAATTCAATAATAACACAAATACTGCAAGTGTGCGTCCATGTATTCATAAATAGTCTTCAGTCTTATCAGCATACAAAAATACAATCTTGTCTCAAATATAACAATAATTTATGTTGTTACAGATGATGATGGACGAAACTCTCCGGAATATCTTCCATTTCGTGAGACTTCTTCTACATCAGTCAACTATAAGTTGTCTTCCTCAATTCATAGACACTCCGTACGGACTCAGTGGTAATTTGCCCATTGTATTATGCTTCGAAGAGTAAGGAGAAGGAACAATTCCCTTCTGTGAATACCATTGAGTCCGTACGGAGTGTCTATGAATTGAGGAAGACAACTTATAGTTGACTGATGTAGAAGAAGTCTCACGAAACGGAAGATATTCCGGAGAGTTTCGTCCATCATCATCTGTAACGACATAAATTATTGTTCTATTTGAGACAAGATTGTATTTTTGTATGCTGATAAGATTGAAGACTATTTATGAATATATGGATGCACACTTGCAGTATTTGTGTTATTATTGAGGTGATGGGGCATTGCCTAAATATGCATACACACAAATGCTATTAGATCATCAGCACAACTACAGAGAGAAAGCAGGGCAAGGGAGAGAGGACACCTCTTTTCTGGGAGATATGTTCACCATAGACTTGTCCCACAGTTTGTTCTTTGGCAGGGGAAGCTGGTTGTGGCAGGATGAAGCAACAGCTCTATGCTTGCCTGTGAGGCCCTTTTCATTATGCCCCAAATCCTCCTCAAACTCATGCAGACCAAGTTTTGTTTTTCTCTGTATAAGACACACAAGGACTTCACGACAGACATGTCTCCTGCCGAAAAGGTTCACTTTAAAGTGATTTTCCCATGGGATAGATTGTCCATCATGTAAAGTAAAGGGAGTGGAGCGGTCAGAGACCTAAGACCATCACTCACTTTTCTCTAATCAAAGTGTTACCAGCATTCCATTAAAATGAATCATTAACCTGTTTCTCTCCTGAGAGGGCATTTTAAAAATTGGACAGTCCATGCATTTTTAAAAGTGTGTGTTACAGTCTGAAATATATTTGCTAATGAATCATTTCAAAAGAATGATCAGGAGAAGAACAGTCTTTTCATCTCTATAAACACATTTATTTGGAAAGACAGAACCTTCCATTTTAATAGAATTTGACCTCAGGCCTATATTTAGGACTACAAATCTAGACCCCTTTATTACAACTTGCACACACATTAGATTACGGGAGTGTTTAGCCTGGTAAAATTTATCTCAGAAAAAGGAAAGTAGTCTCAGAGTGGCTTACAATCACATCCCCTTCTTCCCTTCACAATGGGCACCTCATGAGGTACACGGAGCTGAGAGAGTTCTGAGAGATCTGTGAGTGGCCCAAGATCACCCAGCAGGATTCCTGTGGGGCAACTGAGAATCACCTCCTCATAAATCCTCACCTGTAGCGATTTTTCATTAGCTCCTGCTTCAGGATAGAAAGCTGTGCCACATACACAGTGTCACAATTCCTTGCCTGATTTCGCATTAATTGTAACTAGCATGGTATACTTTTGCATCCACGATTTCAAATGCAAATTAGAATCACTTCATTCCTTTAGCAGCCATTGGAATGGTGGGAAAATACAGTCATGTTCTTTGGGCATTTTATTTTGATAATGCAAAGATGATTAATATGTGGCTCAAGTGGTTAAGACGCTGAACTGCAGGCTGTGGAAGGTCGGTAGTTCAGCAGTTCGAGACCCGAGTTGCCGCATGACAGAGTGAGCTCCCGTCTCTAGTTCCAGCTCCTGCCAACCTAGCAGTTCGAAAGCAAGAAATTGCAAGTAGATAAATAGGTACCACTTCGGCGGGAAGGTAACAGGGTTCCGTGCTCCTTGGTGTTTAGTCATGCCGGCCACATGACCACAGAAATGTCTTCGGACAGCGCTGGCTCTTCGGCTTTGAAACGGAGATGAGCACCGCAACCCTACTCGACTGGCTTTCGAGCAAGGGAACCTTTACCTTTTTAGATAACTAATACACATTAGGTGATCTTGAATGCATGCCCCTGAAAGGTAATACAGCAAGCAATTATTACTTTGTACAGCACCCAAGAAGTAAATCAATTGTACTGCCTAAAGCTCGCAAAGCAGAATTTGTGTACCTGCAGTTCTAAATCTTTCAAAAATCATGCCTGATGCATTGAAATCCATTATGCTATTTGTGGAATTCCTCTGGAATGAGTAAATGACCCAGACAATTGATATGATCGTTCTTAGGTACCTTTGGAAGATAAGGAATATTCCTTGTGAGTAACAGTGATCGCAGCTTAAACAGTAGGGTATTTAAAATGAGATCTGCCATACTGATCACTTGTTCAAAGTAGTCAGTCAGGAGATATGTTCTCTTTTTTGCTTTTCAAAATATGGTAACCCTAGGGGAGAGTATTTCGTGTGGGAGTGCATCAGGTACAACGTGGCTGTGTGTGAGGCGATGACCACACATCTGGTAACATGGGGATACGGCCTAATATGCTAATGAGCTGTGCTGTCGGGGTGTGTGGCCTAATATGCTAATGAGTTTCTGCTGTTGGGTGTGGCTTATTATGCTAATGAGTTCCTGCTGGGCTTTTTCTACAAAAAGAACCCTGATTATTGGGAACTGATTTCTCCAGGGGTTGTGACACCTACCCAGTTGAACAGGGTGATATCTCTGAAGGGTACAGAGATCCCTGGTCTGGTGTGGTTAAAACCTGTGTGGAGAGACCTAAAGAGTCAATCAAAAACTGGTGTTTCAAGAGAAGGGGTTTGGGTACTGGGAAGAGGGTACCAGCCTTCTGGGCACCAAAAGAGTCTGCTATTATACAAATAAAATTAGCTGAAGTGGTTTGGGAAAACACAGGAACAAAAGCCTCTCAAATTAAAGAACTATAGTAACTGTGAATAACTCAAGAAACTCTCACTAGTCTGATCTATAAGAATAAAAGTTTGTGCTTACACTATTTTACCTGTGTTTTAAACCTCTGACTTCACCTAACCTTTCCCCTTGATGTTAAATAAAGCCTGTTATTTATGAATTTTAAAAGTGTCTCAAGTTCCATTTTCTGTCATTTAAGTTTAAGGGAGACCCTGGGCTGAGAAAATAGCCATTACATATCACTGACATAGGGTGGGACTGCTAAAGCTGCTTTAAAGAGAAGAATACATGTTACCAGGGCTGCTGAGTCAGTAAAGGGACACAAATAGAAAAACAGAGGGAGATACCTGTCATACCTGGCTCCTGAGTCAACTTGTTCCTGGCAGGATGATTTGAGGTTAGGCACTCATCAACAAAAAGTTTTATCAATGAGAACGAGTAAGATTGAAACTTTGGTCAGTTACTATAATAAGGAATGGAAACCATGAAGCTGGATGGATTTTCCAGCAAGTGATAGCTTTTCTTCATTCAACTGCAAGTTCTGACTTTTCTTTCAGTATTTCAAAGTTTTCCTAATGTAGTTAAATTGGGTTAAGCAACTGTGAAACTAAAAATACTTAGTTCTCGACAATTGACAAAGCATGTGATTGGCTGTCACAGATCAGACTTGCTAGTTCTACCACTTTATGTAGCCATTCTCTTTTCGAGCTGGTATTCTTTGGAGGACTTATAGAACGATCTAAATGGATGATAATTAGCTAGATGGGCTCTGAAAACTTTCATATTCTTCCATACAAGAAAGAAAAATAATCACACTGGTGAAGTGAGCTTTGGTCTATCTGGCGAAGTGAGCTTTGACTTCAGACTTGTACCCTGGAAAATTTTGTTGGTCTTTATGATGCTACTAGATTTAAATTTTATTCTACTACAGACTAATACAGCTACTCACTTGACACACTTTGAGAATAGACTTCACATAAGTTGGCTCAGACGTTGACTTTGGTGTGTGTTCTTATCACCCTTTAAAAACAACACAATTTGAGCTCTCAGAATGTACTGGTATACCAGTGCTTCTTGCCTAGTTTTTTCCCCCCTAACCATTCAGCATCATGACCTAGCAGAGCAATGACTGTCTTTGGTTTGCTGTCATATCAAAGGCTTGCAAATCCATGTCAAATCGTGATTATCAGCTTGGCTTTGCTAGCTGATGATTGTGGTGGGAAAAAAATCACAATAGAACAATCTGGACTCGTAATCTGAAGAAAGAGAATTTATTGAATCTAATGGCTGTTAGGAGCCAAGCACTGTCACTCAAAGAGCATCCGTGAGAGCTGAAGACACTCACGCTTCATCTTTGTACCCTTTGTTACAGCAAGCAACTTCTGTGTGTAACCTCCATGATCCCCCAGGAACTATGCATTTTATTTATGACTTTGCAATGCCTCTCTTTCTACTTACAGATAATTCCTTTTTGACCAAACTTTTCAAAACACCTGACCAAAGTTTTAACCAGGGCAAGGCCTGTGACCTGGCCAGTCTGTTTTATTTCTACATGATAAACCGTGACTTGCCAATTTAGGCATCCCACCAAACCGCAGTTAAAACTTCATTAAGCACAGTTTGACAGGGTATCTGGACTGAACCACTGAGACAGGGCTGCATGTTTCTTTATTACTTATTGGAGAAAGGTTTAGTATTGGGTTATATCTCTTGAGGTATTACATACTGCCTTTTGACCCAACAGGATCCTCAAGGTGGTTGAAAGCATGATAGAGTAAATTCCTCTTCTCCAGAAAGTTAATTGCCAATTAAACCAGAATAGAATATTGCATTGTTCTCTAATTTTGTAATTCAGTGTTAGTCCAACGTTGTACATATGATACTGTGTTTATAGTATTGTTTTTTAAATTCTATAATCTGCCTTGAGTCTGGGTGAGAAAGGTAAAGGTAAAGGTTCCCTAGCTCGAAAGCCAGTCGAATCCGACTCTAGGGTTGCGGTGCTCATCTCCGTTTCAAAGCCGAAGAGCCAGCGCTGTCCGAAGACATTTCCGTGGTCATGTGGCCGGCATGACTAGACGCTGAGGCGCACGGAACACTGTTACCTTCCCACCGAAGTGGTCCCTATTTATCTACTTGCAATTTCTTGCTTTTGAACTGCTAGGTTGGAAGGAGCTGGAACTGGAGACGGGAGCTCACTCCATCATGTGGCAACTCGGGTCTCGAACTGCTGAACTACTGACCTTCCACAGCCTGCAGCTCAGCGTCTTAACCACTTGAGCCACCACAGCACATATGATACTGTGTTTATAGTATTGTTTTTTAAATTCTATAATCTGCCTTGAGTCTGGGTGAGAAAGGAAGATGATAAATGAAGTAAATTCTGCTGCTGGTGTAATAAAAATAGGCCCCAGAGTCTGACTCATGGACTTTGACCTCTTCTTTGTCTTTTCCAGTTTGAGATGCTGACGGGGTCCCTGCCGTTCCAAGGGAAGGACCGCAAGGAAACAATGATGCTCATTCTCAAGTAAGAACACCTGCCTGGCAACCTGGAGAGTTTGACTTGGTTTTATAGTGCCATCCTAAAAAGACTTACACCATTCTAAGTCACTGAAGCCAGTGGGCTTAGAGAGGTGTAACTCTGCTCAGGATAGCCCTATTAGTCGCTGGTCAGCAGCTAGTTTTGTCTGATGGCTCCTCTCAACTTTTGTTTGCTTTGAAAAAGGGTGTGGGAGGTGAAGAGCTAAAACCCCATCCATGCCTTATCACGTATGTGGTTCCCCCATATTCTTATTCTCCAGGGTAGGCAGTTGGGGTGGACAAGTCGCATGACTCTCTGGGGGGTGTTTCCTGCATCTGCCCTTTGGTTATCTGAATGATAAACTGTTTGACTCCTCTGGAGACAGGGGAAGGCTTCTTGCACCAGAGGAAGCTGGGCATAACGGTGCTGTGGGATCCAACCCCAGGCCTCCCGGAGCACGGCTGCCAAAGACGATAGCATCCAAGTCAGCAAGCAGAAGAGCCTTTTGCCTTGCAGAAAGTTGCTGTGCGCCAAGAAAAGGCACCACTGCTAGCAACATAGATCAGTGGGTGCCAGCCCACCGTTCTAAGTCCCTTTGCTGTTATAACAAGTCTCGTGTTGTGCTGTTTAAGTGCCATGGAGCATGCTTTCCTTAGCAGTGTAGTTTGACAAAGCTGGGTGCCAGGAGCTAATGGTGTGCCAGGAAGGTGGTGATCCGACAGTCTCTTGCTTGTGTTTGTCTCTCTCTCTCCCTCCCTCACAGCTAGTTGTGCAAGCGTGTTTTTTTTTTTTTGCCTGCCTTCTAGAGCAAAGCTGGGCATGCCCCAGTTTCTGAGTTCTGAAGCACAGAGTCTCCTGCGAGCACTTTTCAAGAGGAACCCGGTCAACAGGTTAGGTAAGATGCCCTTGAGTCTTTGCATTCAGCCACTTCTGGAGCCACGGCACTGATACAGTCACAGATGGGGAGTTGGAGGCTTTCTTCAAACCCTCCCTGTGTGACATAGCTCTGACAAAACTAATATTTAAAATCTGCAACACCCAGGAAATGGGGTGGGGGGTGTTGCAAAGGAACATTCATGATTTAGCACATCATTAGTTAAAGGTCCCTGGGCATGGCCTGGAAGGATATTGCACAGCTGCCTGGCTGAAGCCAGATAGATCTGGGGTTGACCAGTGTGCCAGAGCCCTCTGTTTTGTGTACAGTCTCAGTCCCCAGCATCTCTAGTTAAAAGAATCAGGTAGAAGATGATGTGAAAGTCCTTCACCTGAGACCTTGGAGAGCTGCTGCCAGTCAGAGTGCAGTACTGAGCTTGATAAACCAAAGAGTTGTTTTAGTATAAAGCGGGTTATTGTGGAACTTAAACTACAGTGCCTTCATTTGCAGGGAAGAGTGTCAGGGTATAAGTGAAGTAAATTACAGCTTTGATTGCTGGGAAAAGGTACCATATATTTCGGGTACTGTGTGAAGCCCTATTAATCCTTGAGGTAGACTGCAATTCTCCATATCTACCATGAAGATGGGTGGGAAATTTAGACTATGTAGCACAGCAACGCTGGTGTGGCTGGCATGTCTTGGGTGCAATAAAAAGTCTTCTGTCCATGGAACACAGTTTGTATGTCCCTTGGTGCATTCTTTTCTTTTCTTTTCTTTTTTTTGTTAAAGTGACGGCAGGCATAAAATATTATGCAAATCAAACTCATTTGCATATCTGCTTTTGGCAGAATTTTGTCTTTGGCCATAGATATGGAGGAAGGGGGGCCGCGGTGGCTTAGAGGTTAAGATGCTGAGCTGCAGACTGGAAGGTCTGTAGCTCGGCAGTTCGAGACCCGAGTGCCGCATGATTGAGTGAGCTTCCGTCTCCATCCCCAGCTCCTGCCAACCTAGCAGTTCGAAAGCAGGAAATTGCAAGTAGATAAATAGGTACCGCTTCGGTGGGAAGGTAACAGCGTTCTGTGCGCCTTGGGGTTTAGTCGGCCACGTGACTATGGAAATATCTTCGGACAATGCTGGCTCTTCGGCTTGGAAACGGAGATGAGCACTGCCCCCTAGAGTCAGATTCGACTGGCTTTTGAGCAAGGGAAACCTTATGGAGGAAGGAGACAGATATCCCCCCCCCCCTATAATATAATACTAGGAGGTTGCCTGATGAAATTGGCAATGATCCAGTAGAACCATCATTTTCAGAGGTGGGAGACGTATGCTATGATCCATAAAGAGCCTTTGAATGCTGGCTGCTGGTGGGCAAATGGCACTGGAGGTCTGTTGCCTTCATATCGTGCTTATAAGCTTTCAAGAAACACCTGGCTGGCAAAATGAGATGCAGCCGACTAATGCATGCATTTGTTTTTCAAATGAACGCTAGGATTTTGCACATGCTGAATTCAGCAATCCACTTTTGCTGTGTTTCATTTTAATGTCACTGCACAGAAGATGCAGTCCTGAGCACACTGCTGTCTATTTAGATCTATTCTAAAACTGCATGCTTACATTGTAGGTTCAGGTCCTGATGGTGTGGAAGAAATCAAGCGTCACCCATTTTATTCCACCATTGACTGGAATGTGAGTACTGGCCTTTGACTCTGCTTCATGTTTTAGTGCTAGCAACAGGACAAGCATAGCCTTGATTTCATATCAAAGAACCAGCGATTTGGGGAAATATTGATAAGAATGCAATTTATGTTTCTATGAAAAAGCTATCAAAACTTCAGCCAAAGGGATGAGGGTCTTACCGCCACCTTTAAGACTTAAGTCCTTCAAGACTTGGGTATATTTAAGATTTGTTTAGTGCAGACAAGCTATAAATGTGGATATGTAGTGTCTGTTTTCAGATGATGCCTGTTAACTGGATCCTTTTGTGAAAAAATACAGTTATTAATGACATCATGGATATGAGTTTCCAAGGGAACCTAAGTTGCTTGCAACTCTTAGGAATTTTGAAGGATCCTATTGGATCTGTTGACATAGAGCCAGTTACAGCTGTGACTGTAGCAAAGATATGCATTGCTGCTGTAGGAAAGTCAAGGAATCCACCCTCAGTAATGGACTGGTATTTTTAAAAAGATCTGAACTGTAGCCCTTCTGACTAAACTGGCCTAATATAAAAGAGGAGATAAGGCAACCCCAATCAAATAAATTTGGAAAGGATTTTAGCATACACATGAAATTTCCTGATTGTGTACAACTGTATGTACCACTTTTTTGATATAAAAAAATAATGATTAACCTGTGATCAAAATGGGGCTTCCAGTGTTGGGGAAAGATTGTTTGTGTTACGAAGTAGCTGCTGGGCTCATAAAAATGGTCACAGAAGAGATGAGAGGGTTTTTAAAAGGCAAACTGGTATTCTAACTGTGAGCTTGACTTGATTTTACACAAAGCCAGTTTTCGTTCATTTTGGCCAAATCTTCTCTGAGATGGTATAACTATCTGGCTTGTACCTCTTCACATTGGACTTGTGTGACTGAACAATCCTACCGCATGCAGAAAACTAGTGTGTTATGAGAGCAGCCTAGGCTAGACCTCTAATGCGTGACATGCTATTATTTTGTGTGCAGGGGAAGGGGTCATCTGTCTACATGGAGAAGCATTCAACCTTCATGGGAGTCTCTAGTTTGAAATGGTTCAGCCAAAGTTAGGATTGCTACCTCAGAGGGAACAAGACCGCTGAGACTCCTGGCATTCTTGGGCTGCATCCAGACATTGCTGGTTATTGTGCCACCATTGCACTATCACAATAACTTGCAAGTGGGTCACCTTGTCCACACTAGGAAAATCTACTTGCCAATAATTACTATAGCAAAGCAACAGTACAATAGCCACTGCTCTGTGGGCTCATCCTTTGCCTTTCTTCCTTGTTTAAAATGGATGCATCCGCTGTCCTTTCTTTTCTCTGCAGAAGCTCTATAGGCGAGAAATCAAACCACCTTTCAAGCCTGCTGTGGGCCAACCAGATGACACCTTTTATTTTGACAAAGAGTTTACTTCCCGCACACCTAAAGGTTGGTTTGCGTCTTTTTTGAGCCTCTGCAGATTGGCTTTGTAGTCACTTCAGTCATGTGAAACAAGCTGATCCCGAAAGTCTGGGCATTCAGTTTGTCAAAACCCAAAGTCAGCTCTCTTCTCAGTTACAAAAGAGTTAAGCACGACACTGGGTGGGGTGTATTTGTTCAAGGGAATGGAAATTGTGTCCATATCCTCTATTAAAACTCCCTGTGGTGGAAAAAAGCTCTGGCCTACCCTTTTCATGAAATTAATATGTCAGGAGTTCTAGATAGTGGGGGAGTATTTGATTGTTCAAGTGCCTAGCCTCCAGTTTGAAATGGAGCTGCCCAGTGAAAGCTATATCAAGTGAGGGACCCCAATTCTTTTGTTCCTGCTCAAACATCACCAGTCATCAAATGTCATCAGTCACAGGTAGACTCTAAGAGCAACAGGCCCTGTTGTCTGCTTTTTCTCTGTCTTAGAGAGCTACTTTTGGGAAGGGAACACCAAGCTGCTTGTTTTGGCCTGATGAGTGTTCTTTTGTTCCTTATTCCAGACTCCCCTGGGATCCCACCTAGCGCAGGGGCCCATCTGCTCTTCCGTGGGTTCAGTTTTGTGGCCGCTGGGTTGATGGAGGATGAGAAGGTCAGATCTTCACCTGTGCCTCTGCATTCTGTGGTGCAGGTAAGAAAGGGGTGCCTTTGAAAGGGTCACAAAAGCTGCAGTGTTGGCTCCAGAGCTGTGGCCGCCTCCTTCCTTTCACTGGGTTGGATCCTGACAATAATCTCTGCTAATAAAAGTGCCTCACATTAGCAGAATGTTGTGTCCCTTTCTCCGAGACTCACTGATCTTCCCAAAATGTTGCTCCTGGGAATCTCCCAGGAACAACATGGGGGCAGATCAGAAGTCTTCAGTGGAAGGGAGGAAGCGGTAGAAATCACCACCTTGCTTAGTGGAAACGATGATCAGGATCCAACCCCTTCTTTACAAATGTCCAAAGCAGGTAAGCAAAAAAAGAGTAATAAATTAGTAAGTCATCCATATAACCTTAAAAGTAAAATTTTATGTCTTGAGCCCATGCTCTGAGCCCATTTTGTCTATAGCTGTTAGGTACCCACCCACCCCCTCCCAATTAGAAGCTTTTGTTAGAAGCTTTTGTTGCTTAAAACCAGCTTCATAGATAGAAGCAAATTCTTCAGATGTGTGGGGATACAGAGGAGGTCCCCACCAACATTGTCAGATGTATAACGTGGGGCATAAAGTACATAAACTACCCAGTGAAGAGTCCAGTTGCATCAACTGAAACAGGCCAGCATTCACTGAAAATGTGTATCCCAACAAACATATTAGTCTTTCTTGGAACTCTTGTATACTACAAGAGAGGTGCTGGCAGTTGGTTTTCTGTGTCTTACAGTGATTGCTGGGATGGTCTACTTAATATCCTTCTGCCTCCTTGAAATGGAATTTCCTCCTGTGCATGGAAAACCAGGGTTTTCTTCTGTGTGTGTGAGATCTGTATGGGCCTAGTCATCTGGCATTAGTACTGACCTTGGTTATTCCTACTCCTGTGAACGTTATAGTTGAACTGAGGAGGGAGGGAGTCCAGAACTATAAAAATCTGGCAAGGAGGCCAGGAAAACTAAACCTTCTGAAACTGGAACATCCAGTAGACATTTTTGCATATCTGCCTGCGTTTTGTTGAAATCAGTACCTCAAATTCTGCAGGTGTCACATGAAGTTGCCTTCTACTGTCTGTGAAACTTGCTTGAGATTTGAACTTACCAGAGTGTTTTTGACAGCAAGGTTAGATGCAGATATGCAGGTCTGTCTATCTCTGTCCTTAAAAAAAACCACAACTAGTATAGCTACACAATGGCATGATCTTAAATGAGTGGATTTCCTATGGTGGCTTCTCCATTTAACATTTTCCAGTATATTAAAAGGGGGAATGTAGCAGACGCTTCTTGTTCATCTTTGGTCTTCTGTGTAGTCCCACATTGGGACTGCACACATGCAGGCCTGCTGACAGAGAGAAATGTCTAGCTTTCCAGGAGTAGGGGGGTGCCCCTCCCCCTTGGAGCATGTCCACTGCATTTCCTACTGAAACTACACACCAAGGGGGAGAGGCACCTTTTCCCCCTCAGTTCTTATTTTGCCACTGAGCTGAGAGGAACATTTCCAGCGTAGTTGGATTCTTCATTATTATCTTGTGTGGTTCCTGGGCTTTTCTTCAGGTTGGTTCACTCCACAATAGCCCAGACGTCTCTCCTTAAAAAGTGCCTTCAGTGTAGCATGAAAATGCCCCAGAGGGATGAGCACTCCCTCCGTGTAGTCTGCCCGGGAGAATCTCACAATGTCAGCTCTTGCCGGCTTTGCCAGCCGTTTACCCCCAAGGCTAGGGTAGATAGGGCCTTCCACCTAAAAGCTGCCCTTAGGGAACATGCACTATTGAGTTTGGATAAGCTGCCAGCAAAGTCATCTGCCTCGTGTGAACTTGCTTCAAGGATCAAGTCCATAGCTTCTGCACATTCAGTTCTGACCCCCAGATCCACATAAGCGTCAGTCCCAGTCTCCTGGTCACCCAGCGAAACGTGTCTGAACTCCCAGCAAAGAAGGCACACTCCAAGAGTTCCGACAAGGCTTGGATTTTGAGCCATGCCAGGCAGCCTGAAAAGACATCTGTGACCCTGACTCAGGATCCCCCAGAACCCATAGTCGGATCCCTTGGATTCCATAGTCTTGGAGGATATTCCATCCCAGGTTCTGCATATGTCATCACTGCATTTCCATGAGCCTGACGACTCAGGTTCCAATGGTGAACCTCCGTTGGAACCACCGGGCCCTGCAACAATGGACAAACCATGTCCGACTCCACAGCCATTGGGTCTAGTGCAGCAGAACCAGCACTTGATGCCCAACCAGCTGTTCCCACCTCAGCCTTTATGCCCCTTTGGCTTTTCCATTCCAGCAGGCCCATTGCCAGCATACTCACCGACAGCACTGGCGCAACCCCTCATGCTTCAGACCAAGCTGTTTCTCAGATGCGATCTTCACCTCTGTTCCAAGCTCCAGTTCTGTCCTTCCACTCAGGAGACCCGTTGGTGGTTCAGGAATGCTTCCCTGACTCTGACCAAGAGGAGGGCTCCTGTTCCAACCCAAGTTTAGAACTAGCCACTGATCCCTCTCCAGATGAAGCTGTTGGGGATACAACTTCCATTTCCCCTAAAGAGGACCTATACCTGTTCTCTGAGCAGCCGCTGCCCCATGACATGTTGTATAGTGGTTAGTGTTCCAGACAAGGATTTGGGAGACCCAAGTTTGAATCTGAGTTGGGAAATACCTGGAGATTTTGGGGGTGGAGCCTGAGTGATGGGTGTTGCCTTCTGACACACTTCCGGTGATGTCAGGGGGTGTGGCATATGCAAATAAGTTAATGGGTTATGCTAATGAGCTCCTGCCCCTCTTTTTCTACGAAATGACCCCTGCTTACATCGATTTGCTTCCTGAGGAACTGCCTTCAGTGGTCAAAGTCCTACATGCTGAGGTGACATATCTTTCAAAGCAGCAGATAAATGCAGACAGGCATGCAGAGGACTGCTTAGCACATTCTATGGCATTTGGAGTCACTGTTTGTCATTTTGCCTGGCTCTGCTCCACTGCCTTGCCCCCGGACACCCAGGCTAAGGTCTCTCGGGGACGCTTTCCAGATTCCCTGGGCAGATGGTCTTTTCTATTCTATTTCTCCTGCTCCCCCTATTTGGGAAGGTACTAGGTGGGGTTTGGGCACAAGTGACTCATTGCATTCAGATCGCCCCTTTCTGGCCCCAACAGTTTTGTTTTGCAGACCTGCTACTCCTGTCCATGGGATGTTGCACTCCCCTAGAGCCTGTTCTGGAGCTCCTCCATCAGGGCCCCCTTCGTTATCGAGAAGCTGCCAAGCTTCGGCTGACAGCATGGCTCCTGAACCCTCCCAGTTAGTTTTCTCCCCTGGGGCTCTAGAGGTGCTTTTACACTCTAGGAAGCTCTCTACTCAGCAGTCCCTACACATGGAAATAGGAGCACTTTGCTACATGAGTTAAGGATAGGTGTCAGAGGCCTTCTTCCTGCCCCTCGCCCCCAGTTCTCGAATACCTTTTGTCCCTTAAGGGGTCAGGACTAACTCATTCATTGAAGGTGCATTTGGCCACAATATCAGCTTTCCGTGATTTTGCAGATGGCTCTTCTGTTTTTTCAGACCACACCTCTAGACAATTCCTCAAGGGCCTATCCAGCCTGTGTCCCCGAAGGCCTCACGTGGTTGCTTAAAGGTCCTTGGCACAGTCAGGACTAACGTTGTCCCTCTTTGAACCAGTTCACAGCTGTTTTCTCTCCCTGCTCTCCCTCAAGGTTTGTTTTTTGGTTGCGATCACTTCTGCTAGGACGGTTGGAAAACTGGCTGCCCTTAGGGATGATCCACTGTTTGTTCAGTTTTCCCAGATAAAATTGTTCTCTGATCTAATTTTGAGTTCTTACCCAAGGTTATCACTGCTTTTCACATCACACAATCTGTCTCATTGCCTTTATTTTTTTTCCCAACCCTTCTTCCCAAGCAGAAAAAGCACTGCACAGGTTAGATACTAAAAGAGCTTTACTATTTTGCTTACACCACACAAGGTCTTTTGCCCTGGGATGAGATATGCTGCATCTGCACAGACATTGTCCCGGTGGATTGTTCAGACTATTAGACTGTATTGACTATCAGGCTCGGAGTATCAGGTACCAGAAGTCAGGCAAGGCAGAGTCGTTCAGTCCAAAGGTCAGGGTTCCAGAAGTCAGGAAAGGCAGAGTTGGTGGTTGAGCTTCTATTGTACGCATTGCGTCCACACCTAACAGCCCCCCTTGGCTGCTTTTATAGCCACACACTTAAGGATCATGCTTGCAGCCAGCTGCTCTGGAATAATCCTGCTGCAACTACTCATCTTCATTATCAGCAAGCGGCTGGTGTCAGACCAGGAGGCGTGTACTTTGCTGTCTCTCCTATAGCTCGTTTCTTAGCCTCTGTCTGCCATGCTCTGAGGGTGTGGGTGATACTGAAGAGCTGAAAACGGCCAACTGAGGCCAATTCTGCATCTAGCATTCACTCCACGTTGGGACAGAAATTCCCCTCTACATTGCATACCACTTTCATTTTCATTGATTGTCGGATTTTATGGCAGTGTCCAAACTGCCTGCCACTTTCACTTCATTTGATCTCTTGGTTTTATGGTACCGTCTGCATAGATTCATGGCTGTTTTATAGCTATTCAGGGGTGACTTTGAAGTCAGTATGGCGCTGGCCCGGGGTATTTGAATGTGGTTTTGAGCCACATCTTTTTCAGTTCCAGTGTGGGTTTGGTAAAACAACAGAGCGAATGTTAGATGTAGAATGGGCCTGAGTTTCACCTGCTGAATCAGGGCTGGAGGGTGTAATGGCTCTGCACCAGTTGTTGGCTGTGAATCTTGACAAGCCTGCAGCTCATCTTCCTGCTTGCCGGCTTGTGCGAACTCAGAGCTGGCTGTACAGGGCTCCTCTTCTCCTGAGGAGTCCTTTTCTCCTGAGGAGTCCTCGCTATTACTGAGCCCTGGCTGACTCATGACAGACTGTGCTATGAGCATGGAGGTGTCACTTGTCCTTTATCTCTTCGAGCACATTCCACCAGGACGCAGGCCTCTTCAGCAGTGCTTTATGAGGGTCCTGTTGCAAGAGGTCTGCAAGGCTGCTCCGTGGTCATCTACAGATACATTCATTCAGCGCTATACTGTTGACACGATTCCCACAGGGATGTTGCTGTTGGGAAAACGGTTCTGCACTCACTGTTCAACTGAGAGCTCTGTACCCACCTGCAGGTGAGTGGCTTGGTACTCTTCCCGATGTGGGACTGCACAGAAGACTGAAGATGAAAATAGGGTTACACTTACCTGTAACTATTGTTCATCGAGTTGTCTTCTGTGCAGGCACACATTTCCTTCCTCCTGCCCTGCTGTGAGCACTCTCTACTAGGTGCACTGTATGCCCTCAGAAGGGCTCAACAGTGTGGGAATTACTGAGGGGAAAATGACGCTTCTCTTTTTTGGCGCGTTGTTTCAGGAGGAAACGCAGTAAGCACATGCCGAAGGGGAGGGGCTCCCTCTCTACTCTTGGAAAGCTAGAAATCTCTCTCCGTTTGCAGACCTGTGCATGCGCAGTCTCAATGTGGGACTACACAGAGGACAACTATGATGGACCCCTGCTTCTCTGTGAGGCTGATTTTCCCACTAAAATACTGTTTCCCACTCTGACTGAGCAGCCTCTTAGTAGCATATTTGAATTATAGAATTATAACTTTCTGTATGTCCCACCCTGTGACAGAGAAGTTATTTGGCTTTTGCCCAGGCCAGAGATTTATTGTAACGCAGCAGGAAGGTTGATTTTATTGAACAGGCTCAGCTGAGTTAGAAATAGGTCAGGGGATGAGAAGTTGAGGTAAATTTGGTTGTTTATACAAATTAGAATATTTTGAACAGGCAACAGAGTATAATTGAAGCTTATATTCTTAGAGACTCAGTTCTTAACTGTGAGAGGTTTGTTTGTCTTGGAGATTTCTTTCAGCAACAATGTGTCTATAAACATTTCATAAAACTATCTTAGTTTCCTGGAAAATTAGTACTTTCTTCCTGTATTTAAATACTTTCCTTGTGGGATTATAACTTTCCCTTTTTTACTCTTGAGGAATCTAAGACCGTTTCCCTTTTCACACAAACCAGGGGTCTCTTCTGAGTTGAACCCTCTGAATAACTGGGTAAGAAAGATCCTCCTCTTTCTAGGAGTGATAATTCTTTTTCTCTTTGGCTAGACTGGCAGTTTTCAACCTCCTGTTCAGTCTCTTCTGTCGAACCTAAACCCCAGTTCTGGAGACTGTGAATAAACAAAAGTCAGCGGGGCTGGCACTTAGACTTTTAGTTCTGATTTCTGAAGTTTTCCTCAAATGCAAGGGTACACGGTAAGGATTGGGAGTTGTGCCCCTTCACTTTCCAAGTGAACTTGTCTGTTTTCCTCAGACCGACACACACACTATTCCTGACTGGCAACTGCCAAGCCAAAGTCCAAACCATGACTAACAATCTCTGACAAGACTGACTAGACTTTTTAAAAATTCTCCTCAGGTGGCATTGACCAATCAGAGAGAAGGGGGTGCATGCAGGCAGCAGCCTGTCAATCAAACTGCACTTTACAGTGAGGCATTAACTCCTAATCTCTCAGCTCTCTGAATTTGATGCGTTAAGCATCCTGCTTTTGGAGGTCAGTTCATCACAACTCAACAAACAACAGCTACCGCTAAGTGCAATCCTGTTTTCTTTTCTCTTTGCATTGTCCTGACTTATAGCAACTGCATGGCAAGAACCTCCAGTTCAGCGATGGTTATGCGGTGAAGGAAGCAATTGGTGTGGGTTCTTACTCCGTGTGCAAACGCTGCGTTCACAAGGCAACGAACACAGAATATGCTGTGAAGGTCAGTGGCCTTTTCTTTTATTGCATCCATGAATCGTGACTCCTTCTTGAAACAACTCATGATTTCAAAATAGCATCCGCTAGGGTGGGGAAACATTAGCATTCAGTGCTTAGGACTTGGTGTTAATGTGGCTGAGATCTTCCTTGGAGTCCCAACAGCAATGCCAACATTCCTCTTGACCCAATGCAGTACGGAAGCTGGAGTACCAGTTCAGGTATCCTCAGGTCAAATCTATTCCATCATTGGGTGGATTTGGGCAAGCTGCTTTCTCTCTGCCACATTTTCCATCTGCTGTATGGGGATAATACTGGCCTACCTTGCAGGCAGTGTTCCCTCTAAACTGAGTTAGTGTGAGCTAGCTCACAGTTTTTTAGCCTCTGGCTCACACAGTTTTGTCTTAGCTCAGGAAGGGTGGCTCCAGAGCAAACTAATCTATGCAGTAGCCAAATCGCTCGCTCACAGCTTCGATGCCAGTAGCTCACAAAACAGAATTTTTGCTCACAAGACTCCACAGCTTAGAGGGAGCATTGCTTGCATGAGTATTTGAAACTGAGTGTATGAAAAGTGTTTTAAACTCTCCAGTGCTATATAAATATGCCACCCCTCCCCACCCATGGATGTTCAGTGCATCTGAGCTAGTAAGCTATGACTCAGATGCTGATGCAGGAATGAATTTTGTTAATCTCTTAAATGTCACTGGACTCATCTTTTTAAACTTTCTTTACAGTAAGCAATATTTTACTTGCAGGTCATTGACAAGAGTAAGCGAGACCCTTCTGAAGAGATTGAGATACTCCTACGGTATGGACAGCACCCAAACATCATCACTTTGAAGGATGTGAGTGTAGTCGTTCAAAGGATTAATAGGTTCCCCGATGCATGTACTGGTGATGGGTGGGCCATTCTGGAAACATAGGGCCTGGCTGCTGATGGAGTAGTACTACACCCACAGTTCATTGGATAACAATGTGTAGATCTGTTGAAGAGTGACTCCTTCTCTTCTTCGTATTACCAAAGGCAGATCAGATTCCCTGCTACTGATTCCCTGCATAGTTACGGCCTTGAAAGATTCAGAGGCACATGTAGTCACATACAGTCGTACTCTGATTTTGCACTCTTGATGCAGCTCTGAACGTCTCCTTGTCTGGAAGCAGCTGTGAAGCTGTCCTTGCATTGGGGCAGTGCAGGAGGTGGAGGGGCAGGCAGTAGTCACCCTAGAATGATGCAGCCCTCCACCCCTTGCCCTGTACCTTGATCCTGCTGAGTAGCAGTGGAGAAAGCTGCAAAAGTCTTGTTAATTTCAAGGGCTGCACAAGTGGGTCACGGTGCCTGTCTGTGTAGCAATTCTGTCAGCGCACAGAACAACCATTTGCTGTGTAGCAGGATGTATGCAAGAGCAGGGAATGCCAGTATATACAAACTGCTTGTAAGTAATTTTGGGATAAGGAGTTTCTTTAAAAGTCTGCATCCCCTTTGGCAGGTGTACGATGACGGCAAGCATGTCTACCTGGTAACCGAGCTCATGAGAGGAGGGGAACTGCTGGACAGGATCCTCAAGCAGAAGTGTTTCTCAGAAAGGGAGGCCAGCTCTGTCCTGCACACAATTTGCAAGACAGTGGAGTATCTGCACTCCCAAGGGGTGAGTACTGGGTATGAAGAAACATGCCAGACCTGCAGGCTCTCCTTTTCTTTCCACTTACAGAGGTGAGGCTGAGGGGTCAGGCAGAGACCCGGTAATGAATTTTGGCAGTAACTTCCACTGGCAGGGTGTTTTTTGCTGATTCCCTCCCCCCCTTGCAGTCCTTCAATTTGCCACTCATGCTGTCCTTAAGGGTCCTGTTCCCCAAGAGCAGCCGTGGTGGTGGTGTGGTGGTGGGAGCTGCGGCAGAAGGGGAAAGACAGGGAAATTGTTGTTGGGATCTAACCCAAATGGTTGGGAAGTCACACTTCTGTGCTTGATACAGACGTCCAGTGGTCCTGTGTGACACCTCTTTCCAGTAAAAGCTGTCCAGTCCCGATACCTCAGTCCTTCTTGGCTTTTATGATGCTACCACACTAATTACCTGGGATGAGAAACATATTGGCCAGCTACATTTGGAACCTCCACTATCCAGTCGTGTGGCGCTGGAGGACGAAAACACTGTTATGGAAATGTTGCTTGCTAAAATATGGGGAAAGCCTCTGAAAAGCTGGCCAAGCCACTTGGAAGATGCCTTCTGAGTGTTATACGTCGATAGCTTCTATTCCTAAAGCATGCAGAAGAGATCCTTGCTCCAGAAGCAATCAAAGGGCTTGTGAAATGTGTCCTCTGCTTTGCCGTGGAAGGATATACTTACCAAAATGTGTAGCCCATTTTAATCACTTTTCATGCTGCCATGCACAGCTTTCTGGATACTACCAGTCCTTAACACAACAAGCTCAGATATGTTAATGAACCAAACAATTTCTACTACCAAACCTTCCCAGTAACGGAGCATCTAAATAACCAATAAATGAATGGGTGACATAGTTGGAGATTCCGAGAATAGGCCTGCACATCTCATTACCCAGCAAAGCTAACTGCAGCTTACTCAGGTTTCACTTAATATGCCTCTTGGCATTGCCGGGTTCCTTGGGACCTAGTAGTTGGCAATATGTGGCTGGTACACTGCATTCATTTCGGTGAGGAGCAAGCCTGCCATAGGATAATGATCTCCTACTCTACCACAAAGGTAACTCGATGTTTGACATAAGGTGAAAGGTAGGTGTGATGATCCATGATTTCACCTGTGGCCTTCACAGGTAGTCCACAGAGACTTGAAGCCTAGCAACATCCTCTACGTAGATGAGTCCAGCAACCCAGAATGTATCCGCATTTGTGACTTCGGCTTTGCCAAGCAGCTGAGGGCAGACAATGGACTTCTTATGACTCCTTGCTACACAGCCAACTTTGTAGCTCCAGAGGTAGGTGGCTGTTGAGCCAAGCAAAGTAATTTGTGTACACACTGCAGTATTTCCATAAAGTGTGCTTTTGTCTGTTTAAGGGTGTGGATTTAGACAAGTGCATTTTCAGCAGAGCTTTTCATTGTGGCTGCTTCAGCAATACAAGACAAGATTGGAAGTCAGTCTTACCTTGCTTCTCCCCAGGTCACTGGCTTTGGCTGGCTTCTTTAAACTGTTCATACAACAACGATGAATCTCTCCTGAATGCTAAAGCAATGATTCCCAATCCCTGTACTGGGCATACTGATGCGCCAGGAGAGATGGGTGAAATGTACCTTGGAAAGCTTAAGATGTACACAAATGAAACCTAATGTGACCTTCTGGCCGCTGCAGCGGGACTGGCGCAACCCGCGCTGGACCCTCAACGCATCCCAGAGGGCGAGGCTCCCTGGGAGAGAGGTTCCGGGGGCACGGAGGGGCGCGGCAATCAGCGGCTGGACCAGGGAGTAGGCAGGCAGGCAGGAGTCATTGAAGGGATCTCCCCCCTCCCTTCTCAGAGACCGGGGCCAGAAGGACGGGAACGGGCCCGTGTGAGGGGAGGAGACGGGGCTTACCGGGAGGAGAGGCTGCAGAGACGCTGCCGATGGCGGCGACAGGTTCCCCGGGCTTCCCGGAAACGGCCACTCCCCTGGGCTTGCCAACTCAGGGCAAGATCACGCAGGACATGCAGGAGGGCGGGACTGAGTGGATGACACCCAATAGGGTCGATAGGACAGGTGAGGGACAGGGGAAGAGCCCAATCAGGGACTGGGAAAGGAACGGGGAAGGATTACTTCAAGGCTAGAGGGGGATAAAAGGAGAGAAGCCAAGGGAACTGGGGAGGATTTCGGAGGCGACTGGCTCTGTCGGTGAGAGAGAACCAGATGCGGCTGTCGACCCCGAGGAGCGGATGGCGGAGAGTGATGTAACTCCCCCACCTCTCCATATCTGAGGTTCTTGCTTCTCTCCACGACCGTCGGCAACTGCGGCACACGCCCCTCCAAAGCTAGGGGACACCCCCAGGCGTGACAGTGACCCAACATATTTCAGCCTAACTGGCCGCCTTCGGTGGTCAAGCAATAGGTAGTACACAGGCTCAATATTGCAATAATAATCATATGTAGGACCAAAAAAGAGTTTTATAGTTATAATCAATGACGTAAGGCATAGGAGTATTATGGAGGCCTCATATGATATTGCCTTGTGTCATAATCAGGTGCATATAACTTGGGTAATGTTTCAAATATATGCCTTCCTATTTTGGTCCAGAAGATACAGTCTCGAAAGCAATTCAGAGCCAATGCATCGTAATGGTTAGGCCAAAACGTGTTGGGTCACATTAGGTTTCATCTGTGTACATTGTACAATTTTATTTGAAGCTATAGTTGGGCCCATAACTGTTTTTAAATTATCGTGTAATAAATACATGTATTTTTGATAATTTTGCACTATTTATATGTTTATGCTTCACATTTATTGTTTTTAGGAATTGGCCCTCAGATTTGTATTTATTTAACCTTCCTGGTTCTTAATTCAATTATATGGGTTAAGTTTTTTGTTCCACTCCTTTCTCTTCTTTCTGTAGAAGAGCTAGATGTCAGTCCAGTAAGCTTTCAAGTCCATGTAAGCTTTCAAGAGTCAAAGGTCCCTTCATCAGATGCCATTGCATCCAACAAATTAGTTTTGACTGTCAAAAGCTTATACATCAAAAATCTTGCTGGTCTCTATGGTGCTATTGGACTGAAGTCTAGCTGTTCCCTAAGATGACATTACTGGGGACACAGTGCTCAGCTTCACTGAAATTAGGTGGGGTGCGTAGGTGAGAGGGGAAAGAGCATGACTTTTCATGAGCCAGAGTACACATCGTCAGATGCATGTGCACCTGTAGCAGAAATACTTAGTTACAATATCTCTGCTATGGATGTCCACTTCAGACGTCTGTGAAATGAACTCTGTCAAAAAGTTTATGCTGGAATAAATTTTTGTGAGTCCTTGAGTGACTTATGTCTTGGTACAATTGCAAAAAAAGCATATGGAATAAAACGCATGTAATCGCTTTTATTAGGAGCAACCAAATTGGCAAAAAACATTGTGCAGTTTTTTTTAGCTCACCAGTATTCTTCATTAAGCTAGATGTTACAAAAATGTTTAAAGTTAGAGGGGTAGGAAAGAGGTTGTTTTTTTTCAGGCCATGGTGTTACAACCTGATCTTGCAAATATCCTCGGAGAGACATACACACAAAAAGCTTAATTCTGTTGCTTCTGTGTTTCAAGAGCCATGGTAGCAAGGAAGCCTACTCACTAAACCTCTTCCTCAGCTGGATGAAATCTTATCCTGCTCTTTGTGGTGATGGTACTGATGTACCTCTCCCCCACTCCACACACAAACCTTTTTTCTTTCTTTAATGTAGGTTTTGAAACGTCAGGGTTATGATGAGGCCTGTGATATCTGGAGCTTAGGAATCCTCCTCTACACAATGTTGGCAGGGTAAGAACCGCGTCCTTTGTTGACACATAAAGCCATTGTTAACGGCCTGTTAA